TGTTTGAAACAGGCCCTGACTGAGGGAATTCCCCTCCTATCCATCTTCTGGACACCTGGGTAACTTTTTCAAATGTCAATTAAATCAAGTTATTCCTGCTTAGAATCCTAGAATGGCTTCCTATCACCCTTCAAATAGAATTCAAGTTCCTCGTCACGGTCTACAGAGCTTGCCCCTGCTTACCTGCCCACCTCATCTCCAGTCCCTCTCCAGGCTGTACAGTGCCTCTGGCCCTCACTCGGCCCTCTAACATATCAGTCTCTATTCCTCCTCAGGCCCTGTGCATGTGCGATTCCATCTGCCTGGCAAGATCTGTTCCCTATTATCAAACTGCCTCGCTCACTCCTTTTTCTCCTTTAAGTACTAGCGTAAGAGGTGTGATTGAAAAATACAGTGAATGTTTAATTTTTTAAATTATTATAGTGAGAGACACATTAACATTAATCCCCCTCAGAATACTTCCCTGCACTTCAAGCACTCTTATCCCATCACTCTTGCCAACTTCTGAAGCAGTTCTGGAAGTATTCATTCGTATGTGTCTTTAGTTGCACTGTCATGGCTGCCTCGATGTCCTGAATTGATTCAAAACATTTACTTTACATGATCATTTTGACTTTGGAGAAAAGCCAGAAGTCACACAATGCAAGATCTGGTGAATAATGTGGATGAGAAAACACCGTAGCATTTTTACGAGGCTGCCTTTCCATTGAATGGCACCCAACAGCAGCACTCACTGTACTTTTGATCATACTTCATAGAGACATGAAGAAGACTCAAAACTGCTTCAGAAAGTGGTAAGAATGACGGGATAAGTGTGTTTAGAATGAGTGCAAGCATTTTGAGCAGGATTAACAGCAATGTGTCTCTTACTGTAATACTATAAACTTAACCATTTACCATCTATCTGGTCACCCCTTGTAAATGAGGTGAAGCCTTACACCTTCACCCCCAGGTATCCAACAAAGAGACCCTGTCGCCCCTTTTCACTCTCTTTCCTAGTACTCCGGATGTTTCCATGATAAGACATCCTCTGAAGTCGCTTATTATCATCTGTTGGCCTCTCTCCAAGCTCCACAGAGCAGATCCATATCGTGTTCCTGTTGCATGTCCAGGGTATTAGTCAGAGTTCTCCAGAGAGATAGACAGAACCAATGGGAGATATTATGGGAATTGTCTCATGCAATTACAAAGGCCATGAAGTCCTGAGATCTGCCACCTACAGGCTGGAGAACCAGGAAAGCCCATGGCATCATTCAGTCCAAATTGAAGGCCTAAAATCCAGAGGAGCTGCTGGTGTAATTTCCAGTCCAAAGCCAAAGGCTTTGGAGAGAAGGAAAAGAGAAAGGAGGTAAAGGGTGGATTTGTGGTAAGTTCCAGAGTCCAAAGACCCAAGAAGCAGGATCTCTGATATCCGAGGGCAGGAAAAGATGGGTGTGCCAGCTCCAGAAGAAAGAGGGAAGCTGGGTCTGGTGGTACATGCCTGTAATTCCAGCACTCTGGGAGGCTGAGGCAGGAGGATCTTGACTTTGAGTCCAGCCTAGGAAACTTAGTGATTTAACAAGACCCTGTCTCAAAAAAAAAAAAAATTAAAAGGCTGGGGATATAGCTCAGTGCAAAGGCCCTATGTTCAATCACCAGTACAGAGAGAGAGAGAGAGAGAGAGAGAGAGAGAGATTTCTCCACCTATTTGTTCTGGCCAGGCCCTCATGGATTGGATGATACCTGGGAACACTGGGGAGAAAATGTCTTCTTTACTCAGTCTACAGATTCAAATATTCATCTGCTCCGGAAACATTCTCACCGACACACCCAGAAAAAAATGTCTTGCGACGCTTAGCCACCTCAGGTTAGCTGTCACATGCAGCCCAGGAGCTGGCACATATTAGACACCAAGAAATCTGTGTCCAGTGAGTAAATCCATAAGATTGTCTAGCTGATGCCCATCAGTGGGGAGTCACATGCGGGGCACAATGGCTGTCTTGGGCTGGGTTCTCTAGAAACAAACCCTAAAAGTCCACATGAAAGTGACACACACTTGTGATCTTAAGCTGAGGCAGGAGGATCATGAGTTCAAGGCCAGCCTGGGCAATAAGATCCTGTCTCAAAGTAAAACTAAAAGGGCTAGGGATGTAGCTCAGTGGTAGAGCCCTTGCCCGCATCCACAAGGCCCTGGGTTCATTCCCCAGTACTGCAAAAAAATGTATAAAAGTGATTTATTACCGTGCATTGCCATGACACACCAGTAGGCAAAGTCCCATGGAGGGATCCTGGGGCTCTCTGCCCCAGGGAAGAGGCTCTGGGCACCAGGCAGGTCTCATCTTAAAGTTGACCAGGCTGGAGGTGAGGGAGCTGGAGTATTTACCCCCATCCATGACCAAGCCAAGGGGTATGAGCTGCCACAGGGCAGGGAACCAACCTAAAGTCCTAGCACAGTGGGGTCTGGGAGCCCAAGACAGTCACCAAACTAAGACACTTAGGCACTGGCAGTTGAAGCGAGCACATGCCCTGGGGGACAGTACAAACAAAAATGGTGAAGGGGTTTGGGGACAGGAGTAGGGCACTGACTGTGTTTGCTACAGAGCCCTTTGGAAATATCTGGAGATGTTTTCTGACTGCCATGAACTAGGGGTGCTGATGCCTCATGGTCCCCAAGGACCAGGGATAATTAATGTGGTACAATGTGCCACCCAAGAAAAACTGCCCCACCCCAGATGCCAAAAGCACCCCCAAAGATGAGCAATTATCCACTTCTCATCCCTCATTTAACAGATGAGGAAACTGAGGCCCAGAGAGAGAAAGTGAGTTGCCCAAGCCAACACGGGAAGAAAGCCACAAAGCCAGGGAGAGAGCACGGACCACTTCACAGCAGCCCTTGGCCCCTCGTTCTTTGCTAACCCTAAAAGAGAACATCACAAGCCCAAGGACAAAGTCCCTCCTGGAATTCTAGAGGCGGGAGCCCATCCTCTCTCTCCCCTGGGTGAAGTGGGGAGAAATCAAACTTCAAGACATTAGAACAAGTGGCAAAGCAGATGTGCAAACAAAGATAAGGGAGACAGGGTTTCCACAGACAAATTCATGCCCTGCTCGGTTGAGACATTAAAATGAACGAACTGAATTTCATGCCATATGCAAATCCTCAGCAGCTGTTGGCTCTGTAATCACAGGAGACTTAATGTACTAACTAAACAAGAACAGAAGATGCTGGCACGCAGGCTCTGGGCAAGCCCACGGATGGCAGAGCCTGTGCTCCTCTGAACCAGCAGGTGTACAGCGTTCATGGCAGACAGCAGGAAGGGGTCCGTGCCTCTCCTCGACTCTCCTTTCCAGAAGTGCCCGTGGCCATAACAACCAGGGGCTAAGGAGGAACGTGGCTGTCTTGCACCCTGGTCCTTCCTGTGTTCCAAACATTCCCCACTGGGCTCCTTTCTCCAGTTGTCAATGTTGACTCGGTCCAGCCCTGGACTGGAAGCTGAGAAACAGCCAAATGACCCCAGGTTTGGGTCCCCCATCTGGATCCAAAAGAGTGGGAAGCTGGCTACTGGCTGCTGGTACGGGGTTCATCCCACCTGAGGATCCCGGGTCCTTCTGACTGTCCAAGCTAATAATTATAGCAGCAAACACTTACCAAATGTTCAGTGCGGGCCGAAAGCCAAGCACATCACTTTCTGTGCATTATCTCCATCTTCCCCTTTCATTCACTCAACAGACATTAATGAAGCACTTTTTATGTGCCAGGCAGTATGCTGAGGATAGAGCAGCAAGCGGAACACACAAAAAGGTCTTGGGCCTCACAAACCTCTTGGTTTCTGGTGGGACCGACATCTTAAGCACAGTTATGGTGAATGCTAAGAAAATCATTTTGTACCTAGTTTATCACCAACATTCTTGCCTTAGGATGAGTTACATGTTTAAAAGTTGTTCTAAAGAAAAATATTAAGTAAATGATAATACAGTGATTCTCCAATGGGCTAAAAGCAGGATGGATTTCTTCTCCCATATAACCCTGCTATAGGTTTTACTATTAGTCCCATTTTACAGTCAGGGAAACTGAAGCTCAGAGGGGTAAAGTCTTATGCATGAAGTCACACAACTAGGACATGGTGGAGTTCACATTTGAACCCAAGCCCATCTTCAAAGCCTGTGCTTTAACCACCAGGCTCACCCCAGCAAGACCCCAAGTGGCCCATTTCATTTTAATACAGAGGACCCTTGACTTAATAACTCAAGTTGGTCAGTTGCCTTCAAAGTCCCTCTCCTGTGTACTTTCAGGCCGCACTTCCTTCCAGGCAGATCTCAGCATCCTTAGAGAGACAATGGCCCAGGATTTCTCACTTAACCCCACACAGGAAAGGATGTTGTCATGTTCCCTCCAGAACTCGCTAAGGGTCAAATCTGTATCTGAGACTATCTGGAAGCACAAGCAGCCAGCATTCGGGTCATAACTCAAGACTTGGTTCGTGTGTTAAAATTAAAATTCCAGTCGTAACCCATGTCATTCGTATGTCAGGCCAGTCATAGCTCGAGGGTCCACTGCATCTGGGTCACTGCCACCAGCCACTAAATGGCCCTTAGCACACGCTGTGTTAGGTTTGGGGGAGATAACCCGCGGGGCCTTGGGGTTCTTCTCCCCATTCTGACTTTTCTCTACTGTGAAATGGTGACACCACCTGCCTGACGCAGCGAGGAAAGCACAAACCCGCACACACAGGGCGACAATGACAGTCTGAGATGGGGCACGGAAGGGGGATGGACACCATAATTCTCGTGCAAACGCTAGTATTGTTGTCATTACTATCACTGGGCCTCCTAGCTGCTCCTTCAGCCGCCACAGAAAATGTTACTGCTGCGTATTATTCTCAGATTCCCGAGGTTGCCTTTACTCCCCTCTGGTCACCTCTGCAAAGTGTCATTTGCCCTCCCCCCAACGTCCCACCTGAGCTTGCTGCTCTCTTCCTGAAAAGTCCTCGGGCCAGTGCTCCACCAGGGCCTGAGTCACTAACCTGGGACATCAGACAACTAACTTCTCTGCAGCGCCTTGAAGCGGGGCCAACAGCACAAGTGGGTCCAGGCCCAACCCGGGCGATGGTCCGCACCTGTGAGTGTCTGTCTTTCTCTCTTCTGACCTCCACGTTCTATGGGAAGAACTCCAGGGGGCGAGGGTCTCAAGGCTCTGAGAAATACATTAAGAACAGTGAGGGCAACCACAGGGAGGAATGCGTGCGTGCGTGCATGTGTGCGTGCGTGCATGTGTGCGTGCGTGCGTGTGTGTGCGTGTTGGTTACTGGGGATTAAACCCAGGACTTTCACGCTGAGCTTCTTCCCCAGTCCCTTTTTAGTTTTTTATTTTGAGACAGTGTCTTGCTATGTTGCTAAGGTCCCCAGGGTGGGCTCAAACTTGCAATCCTCCTGCCTCAGCCTCTCAGAGTGCTAGGATGACAGACATGGGCCAGCTTCGAGAGGACTTTGATAAATGGAATCTGCAAGGTTCAATAAGAATCAGATAAGCCCCGAAACAAAGGCAGAGGTGCTTTTCATAGGTAAGAGAACGATCTGCCCATAGGAGAAGTATCCGGGGTTGGCGCTGCGGGCCAGCACCATGCAAGAGCCTGCAGACAAGAGCACCCTCCTGAGCCCACGGAGGGAGACAGCAAAGAATTCGGTGCAGGAGGGACTGGTGCTGGGCGGGCGGGCGTGCTGACCCCACGGTCGGCCGAGCACCCAGCCAAAGGGCGGAGACGCTGGAGGTGAGCGGGACCTCAACACTGGAGAGAGAGGGATGCGGGGAGAGACCTCTGCCTTCGGTGTAAAGAAGGCGGGACCGCCGTGGTTGCGCGCGCAGCCCCGACACTGCGTTCGAATTTTACCGCCCTCTGCCAGCATCCGGCGGCGCATTAGCGTGCTGGCGAGCTACTCCTCCAGGTCCCTTGAATAATCCAGGCACCCATCTGTTGCTCTTCCCGGAGTTGAGCTGAGGGAGGAGCATGAGCCCTGCGGCAGAGACCAGTCCGGAAGACAAAAGAACCTGGACAACTGCAGAGCCACACAGCAGGGCTGAAGAGCAGGTGACTGAAGCATAAGGCAGGGTCTCGTCCGTCGCCACTGCTCCTGTACGAGCCCCCGGGGCCAGAACGCTGCGGTGTTTTGTCACATGCCTGAAGTCCGCTTCTGTCCTCCTCCATATACAGGCCTTGTGATCTGGCAACTGTCAGATCCTTACAGTAGTTCCCGGAGGCCCCGGGACCTGCCCACCCTTCCCACCTCATCTCCCCGAAGCCCTGGCCTCAGCCCCACTCCGTAAATCCCTTCTTTATTGTTTCCATAGCGCTTAGCAACTTCCGAGACATCATCTAATCTGCCTGTGTGTACTGTCTCTCTCCTCCCCTGAAAAGTAAGTTCTCCCAAGACAGAAATTGATTCTGTTTTGTTCACTGCCATCTCCCAGGGCCTGGGACAGTAGGGTCACATGATAGAAATACAATATACATATCAAAATTCCCCCCCAAAAAACATGTGAAACTAGGAGGAAGGGGCAGTGATTCGTGTATATTATGGGCATGTACAAATCTGCCAAAATGAAACAGTCAGACACGTTAATCTGCATAACTGACATGCACTGATAAAAATGTGGGGAAAAAAATATAATCATAGGGAAGAGAGGGTTGTTAAATAAGTGGGCCCTGTTATGGTGTTTGTAACCATCACAAAATCTAAAGCAACACCAGGACACAACAGGAGGGCACAGTCGGTTAAAAATCTGGGCACCCAGAGTTTTCTGGGCAGCTGGGTCAGAAGCCAGAACTGGAGAGGAAAATGGAATAAGGAGAAGAAGCACCAGGTACAGGCCAGGGCAGGGCTGCCAGGGGGCTGGAGCCACGCTTGGGGACTCAGCTCAAGGACATCACCGGGACAGATGGTCCCAACGCTTCCTCTTACCCCAGAGAAGACCTCTGAACTCTCCCAGCATGGAATGTCAGGCCTATGCCTCCTGTGTCCGCAAAACCCCACATGTTCACCCCTGATGAGATGCGTCCAGAATGATCTCACCACTCGAGGGGCTCAGAGCTGCCTCCCGGGCCACCCTTGCAGCATCTCAACCCCAATCCGAAGATGTCTGTCTGGCCCAGAACTGAAGGCCCAGGCAGAGCTGTGGACCCACCCCACCTTGGGGATCTCCCGGGTGAGAGCTGCAGAGCCTGTAGGACATCAGCAGGCTGCTTTGCCCCTGACAGAGATATATCTCCAACTTGCTCCAAACCAGTGCGTCACAAACATCAGCACTCCACCATCACCTGGAGAGCTTCCCAACCACAGACTCTCAGAGTGGAAAAGAGACAGAAAGAGAGACTCATTCCAAACATCTCTGTAATCCTGGTCCTATGGAAAGGTTTACATGCCAGAAAATAAATACTGTACGTAACCCACTCAGCCAAGGTGCAGGGGTCCCAAAGTGGGGTTCAGCAGCAGCATCACCATCACCTGTGAGCTCACTGGAAATGCAGAACCGTGGGACCTGGCCCTGCGCTACTGAATCTGAATGTCATGGGATTGAGATCTGATGTGTTTCTATATTTTGAAAAGCTTTTAATTTTGAAATAATTTAGACTTAAAAATCAAAAACATGGCCAGGCATGGTGGCACATGCCTGTAATCCTAGCACTCAGGAGGCTGAGGCAAGAGGATCACCGAGAGTTCAAGGCCAGCCTGAACTATACAGCAAGACCCTGTCTCCAAAAAGAGACCAAAAAATTGATTACATAGAGTTTCCCTAGGTCTTTCACCCAATTTCCCCTAGTGTTAATATCTTACATAATAATAGAACAACTATTCAAACCCGGAAATTAACATGGATATAAACTCTACAGATGTACATTCAAATTTCATCAGTTTTTACACTAATGTCCTTTTTCTGGTTCAGGATTCCACATTACATGTAATTCTCCTACAGAATCAAAATAAAGCCATGTAAACCAGGAAATGACACGGAAACATTATTGCCAAGTAATTCTCAGACCCCATTTAAGTGTCAGCAAAGGGCCCAGTAAAAGTCCTTTCTAGTAAAAGGCTGCAATTCAGGGTCAGCCACACGGCCCAGTGTCTCAGCCCCTCGGTGTCCTCTAGAGTATGATCCTGCCTCAGCCTTTCCTTGTGTGTTGTGATCTTGACATTTGAAAACTTTTGTACGAGTACGAACTTCCCCCGATGAATGAATGTGGTCATTATGTACTACAAACATGTACTAATAAAAATTTTAAAATAAAGTTTAAAAACGACATTTGAAAAGTACTGGCCCATTCATTTGTAGAATTTCATTCCACTTGGATTTGCCCGATGTGTTCCCATAATTAGATTGAGTCACTGTACACCTAATCCCACATACACCTGCAGCCGCCATCTGGTGAACTGTGTGCTCACTAAAATTAGATGATTGCTCTCAAGCCTGTTTATGCTGGTTGCACTTGACCTGGTAACTATATTTTAGGTAAGTAGTAGATTGGTGATAAAATAGGAGGGAAAAAGAAAGTTGTTTCTCTAAAAACTAAGTGTTTTACAAAGCCTATGAAAAGCAAGTTCCTAAACAGACATTGATGGGGAATTAGTTGTAAAGGTAAAGGATGGAAAGGAGAGGGGGACTGTCAAAATCTGGAAGGATTCTGTATTCTGCCTTGCCAGGGTCTTTAAATTCTCATTACATTTAAAATAAACCAAAAGAGGAAATCATTTGATTTGTGCAGGAAAGATATGAGACTTTAATTAATCTATTATTAATCATTAATGAATCTAATATTGGCATTGGTTTTGATTAACTCCATATTGACACTGAAAAACTGATATGTAGAACACAAATCAATATGCAGTATACAAGTAAATGTAAGTTAAATAAAAGATAAAATATTCTAGGACATGAAGATTCCTGTTTTGCTATTCCAACAGACTTTTGACTTTCCCAGCAGACATAAGTTAATGGCAAATGGTATTAGGCTGGGCCCCAAGCTATACACAAGGACACATTGAAGTGAGCTCAAGGAATATGACTCAGCCCTAAAAAGGAGGAGAATGCTGACATTTGCTACAACATTGGTGACCCTGAGGATATTGTGCGAGGTAGAATGAGCCAGTCACAATAGTGCAAATACTGTATGAGGTCACTTGCAGGAGGACGTTGGAGTCATAGAGACAGAAGTGGAGTGGTGGATGCCAGGGGCTGGGAAAGAGGAACAAGGAGCAGTCGCTTAATGGGAACAGAGTTCCAGAGATGGATGGTGGTGATGGTGACACAATATTGTAAATGTATTTCACGCTACTGAATTGTACACTCAAAAGTGGTCATGACAATAAATTTTATGTATTTTCCTACAATAAAAAATGTTTTAAAAAGTGAGCACCACCTGCATATATCCCATTCTACAGAGTATTTAGGCAGAATTTAAAATAATGCATAACCTGACCATCCTTCTTTACTACTCCCACTGACTTGGGTTCTGGGTGGCCTTCCAATGTAAAAGAAAACATCTTCCAGAAGTGGAGACATTGTTTTGCTTTTTGTTTCCCAATGGCATTTTGTTGTTGTTGTTAAGGCATCTCTCCCCCTTTCATTCAAATAATTCACTTGGGATTATATGAGTATCTTTAAAACCATGGTAAAGCTACCTTTAGTCTTGAAAAGACATATTACCAAACTGTACAGCTAGAGACTTCCAGCATATCACATGGTGCCTTGTACATAGTCGAATATCAATATATATATTGCTGATTAATGAACAAATGAAAGCTTTATTTTTTGTTTTTTGAGACAAAGTGTTGCTATATAGTTCAGGCTGGCTTTGAATTCACTGTGTAGCCCAGGCTGGCCTCGAACCAGCAGCAATCCTACTGCCTCAGCCTCCTGAGTACTGGGATTACAGACATGTGCCACCATACCTGGAAAGCTTCATTTCTTAACTTCCACAAGAGATATAAGAAGCCCCAGGAAAAGGAAAACCTGAAAAAGTTGCTTCAGTACATTTAACAAAATCTTTTATTTATACTGTGTGAGGTATGATCAAAACATACAGTGAATGTTTAATTTTTTTTAATTTATTACAGTAAATGACACATTGCCATGAATTCCCCTCACTTCAAACACACGCATCCCATCACTCTTGCCACTTTCTGAAGCAGTTCTGGGAAGTCCTCATCCGTGAGTCTTTGGTTATGTTGTGGCTGCCTGGAT